CTGAGTGGCAGGAAGCTCTGCTGGGCTACTTTTTGTTACGTAAGAAAAGAAACTGAATGATTCAGCAAGGAAGTGAAAAAGGTTACTTGAAAAATTGTGCTGATTTTTCATGTCTTTGGGGAACTGCACTCAAGCTTTTTTTGAAAGACAAAGTGATGGGATACTTGATGAGAAGATATGAATAGATATTCCATCTATGAAAGTCAGAGAGGCAATCAAAGCAATGAAGAGTCCATGTCCTTCTTTCTTACTCAGTGTACTTGTTATCTGGCATCCCAAATGCCCTCTTCATTGCCAGATAAGGCATCGTAAAAAGAGCCCACTCTGATTTATGTTTTCAAAGGAAAGCAAATGATCCAATTGAAGAATCCCTGTTGGATTTTATTAGTGTGATATGAATTGTCTTTGTTCTCTGTCAGATGGAAAGAAAGAGGTGTTATTCCAGGAGACTAAGGTAACCAAACAAAAGACTATAAAAATAAGGGAGCAAGTTCTGTGGGGTTTAGCAAGGGGATCTCTATTCCAGTTTGAGTTGCACAGCATACCCTAGGGGGCATATTCAGTGGGGAGTACAGTTTGTCTGCTCCATCTTAGTTGCTCTTTCACCACTGGAATTTTAGTTATCAAGACCTCAAAAATATTTCCATTTTACATGTCTACTTACACATTATGTATATACTCACATGTACACACATTATGCACACACAAAAAAAATGTATGTATAATAAAAATGTACATATATGCAAGGCCATTCCCTGAGGAAAATGTTGTAATCTTCCTTTTCAGTCTGTCCAGCAATTTCTTACATACTATCCCTGTGAAGTCACAGAAACCACAGTCTATGTATTCCTCTTCCACGTATATTAGACCTGTCACCCTGCCTAGCAGATCAGCACTGCTTGGTGCATTAAACCTTTTGTTTCCCAGTTCAGTTGAGCTCTCCAGGTGCCTCCTTTTGCCTAGTGATTAGTCCTCAGAGTATGCTGCTGTCAGAAGACAGGGTGCTCCTAGTATGCAAGTTGTCTTAAGATGTGGAGATATCAAACAGGCTTAGGAACTTTTGGAGGATATTCTTGGGATGGAATAGAGAATGTTGTGAGATGCAGTTCTCTGTCATTCCAACTCCCATTCCTATGGGTAAGAGATGGCATATAAGTGTTTTAGATCTAGATAGACAGGATTTTTTAGCCTTTGCTGGTCTGTGATAATGGCTTATGTTACAGGAAAATAACTTTTCCAGGGACTTGGAGCTTACCAGGGCATACTTAGTACTGCCTTAACAAGCTAGCCTGTAAGGGACACAAAAGTAAATGAATAAGGACATCAGGGTTTGGTGCACTACCTGTAGGGACAGGTTAGGAATCCAGAGAAATGATCAAGATGGTTTTGTCTGATCTCACCACTGTCTAGTAAGAGTGATGTACCGCACCTCTCTGAGTCACCTGTTATCCCCATCTTTCGTACAGAGTGTTTGAGACTCTGAGAAGTTGAGTGATTGGGTGAAAGTCACACGGTGGTTCACTGTCACTCTGGAGAAGTCAGAATTGTTCAATGAAGGGGTGCTTTACTGACTCTTGCTTTTTATTGGGTCTCTTTTTTTCACAGACTTTTTCTTTTTTTTCTGATTCTTCTTAAATCAGGAGGTAGAGCAGCCTTTAATGTGGGAAGAACAGAGTAATGGTCTCCTCTTAGAAATGGGGTTAATGAGGAGGCATGCACCAGATAAAATAATTAGTATTCCTGACTTGAATTCACCTCAGAAAATTATTTCAAAAGGGTCTTTTTACACCCTGTACAAACAGGTTATTACTTACTGCTTTGAGTCATACTAATTCACTTGTGGGGCCTCTTCTTGTAACTTGCATATGATACATTATTTAATTCCTGGTGGAGTGAACAAATGCAAACATTTTGGCTTTACGATGTGATATATGCATGGCAAATGAAAAACCTCAAAATGTTAATATGAATCAGGAAGTCTTTTTTAAAACCTTAATAGCTAGTGGGTGCAAAACCGATTACTAACGGTTTTCATTTTTAACAGCATCGCTACAAGTCAGACCTAAACTTCATGAAAGGGGTTGGTTGGATGGCTCTGAGATCTCCGCAGATAGAAAGTGTAAAGAAGGCTGGAGAGCTCATCAGCGAGGTAACTGATAAATCTTTCATGGGATAGCACATCTGTAGGAATTGTTTACCATCAAGGCTCCTCGTTACATGACACTTACGAATGTAGCTTATCATTTCCTTTTGATGCAGAAGCCTGTTTATACAAGGTGTAAGTTACCAAGAAGCAATATGGGAGATACAAGTCCACCGCATGACACCTGCTGAATATTTTCCATTCTGAACGAAACACAAGAGTGTAAACAAAATATGTAGCAATAAATAAATGCAGTAAAATCTATTATGAAATAATAAGCAGGTTATTGTAGAAGTAATATAGAAAGACACAGCGCTGACATTCGCATTCAAGGGCTCACTAGCCTGTTCAGTGTCCTGTAGTAAAGAAGAATAATTATGAGCTGTCCTAAGCATTGTGTTTTCACATGCTTTTTGCATGTGAATTTTCAGTGTAAAACCTGCCTTCACAGACAAAACAAGTGTGGTGCCCGGGCACCACTGAAGTGATACAGTAGCATTTCCTACTCCCAAGCTGAAAGAGTAACTCAGAATAAATAGATTTTTTTTTTTTTTTTTAATATTGTGGCCTCAAGAAGCTAATTTTATTGTCGTACTAGTTATCACATGTTTGGAATCTTGGTTTATCTCTGTTTAACATAAACCTCTTGGATTTTGTTTTTGTTCTCTTCCCCCGCATCCCTTGCAGACAAAGTACCGTCAGAAGCCAGAAAGTTTGAAGTTCACTGCTGTGGTGGACTCTCCAGATTTGATTCATGCTAAAAATAGCTACCTCCAGTGCAGTGATGTAGGTTTGGTTTTACTCTAAATTATCTTAACTTGTGTTTCACTAGTGACCTCAACCTTGCTTCCAGTATATAGGGCTTCTGTTGTATTTAATGACTTTTGGCTCCACAGAGGCTGTACAAGGCTGCAGACTCCGAAGCCAGGCACAGGTACACCCTGCCTCCTGACCACCCAGATTTTATCCGAGCCCGCCAGAATGCACTTCAAATCAGCGATGTAAGTAACAGAGGCTTTTATTTTGTTTAAGCAAACAAACTTGCCTGGGAATAAAAAAAAAAAAAAAAAAAAAAAAAAAAAAACCTTTCCTGTATGCGTAGACACTAGGTTCTTTGCTGAGCCTGACTGAGAAAAGCCAGAGGTTGCAGACCACTAACATGTAGCTAGGACTGAGCTGATGGCATTATGAAAAGTTTATTTTTTCCTTTTGAGAATGAATTCTTCTTTCTAGGGCAGGAAGGTATTAAGCATTTCAGTCTTTCAGTCTAGCTACAGTTAGTTACAAATTTAAATCCATGAACTTCCATTTGGGTGAGGAAGAAGAAAAAACTCCTTCTCTTTCCTTGACTATGCCATCTAACTTTGTGAGGTTGCAAAAAATTATTTTGAACTGATTCCTTAAACACAGTTGTGATCAAAAAAGGTGGAATGGCATCAGTAAGTGGGATTATTTTAAAGGATTCTGCTTCCACCCTACTCCAATCAGAGCCATGTTGTCTATCCCTACTCTTTGTTTCCTTCTTTAGCATCAGAGTAACCGTAGTTTAAAAATTTCTTTAAGTTCCTGGTTTGTGTAAGAGGTGCTCTATAGCTGAAAGAAACAGCTAAGATTTACATTCTTTGATGCCACAGAGGGGAAAAAATAAAAAGGGAAAGGGATGATTGCACATGAATACAAGATCAGCTCTAGGCCCATTAGTGGCGCTTGCAGTAATACTTACAGGGCTTCTGGGCAGAGTGTTCTGCCAGCTGATGCAGGACTTTTGCCATCTCAGTTTACATTCAAATTAAACACTATTTAGCACTACATTCATCAGTGAAATACAAGAACAGCTTTTGAAATGTGAAGCTGACTTTGTGCTGGTTTTCATATGGTCACAAACCACAGAAGGGGTGAACCAAAGTCTTAACAAATTAAATGTATAAAACCTGAAAGGGAGAACTAGAAGTGTCAGCTAAGATAAACAGCTAAGTGGTACAGCAAATTAGAAGTATTGTAAATAGTCTACTAATAGAAGAAGAATCAAATCTAGAGCAGTTTCTATTCAAGATGTGATTATATTTCACTGCCTCAAAGTCACATTGAATATGTTAGTAGTAGCTGTTATTCCAGATGAGTTAATGAAGCCACATGTGGCTGGGAATTGAGATAGGGACCACTAGAAAAACTTGAAATAGCTGGTATTGAAATTATGATGCTGTGAAACCCAAGACACTACAAGTAGATGCATCAAAAGAGAGAATAAGGGCCATATCAATGTAATATTGATGTGACTGATGCATCACAGTTTCTATTAGAAATTAAATCAAATAAAGAGCAACCACATTCAAGTACAAAAAGAAACCCTGGTGGCACTTTTCAGATGAGTGATAAAATATTATGGAGAACAGAAAAGAAGTTGAAGTGCTATAGAACTGGATCAAAACCTTGGAGATGGTACTGATGACTCTTGATACAAATAAACCCAGTAGGATAAAACATTTATTATTACAGTCATGGAACTAAATTTAAGAAACTGCAGGGGGAAATGACTGTTTTGTTCTTTTCTTTTCAACACAGAAAGTGTATAAAACATCTTGGGAACAGACAAGGGCATCTGGCTATGATTTTAGGATTGACGCCATCCCATTCCAGACAGCAAAGGCTTCAAGAGAGATTGCTAGTGATGTAAGAATCCTTTTATTTCAAACACTTCCCAACCCTCTTCCCATGGCACCCCCACCCCATAAAAATGGGTAAATTCTGTCATAAGACAACCGTGCAGTCAGGTTTAGGAAAATGGATAACCTGGTTAAACCAAGTGCTGGTAAGTGCAACGATTTCCAATGATAGAGTCCCCTTAATATCCCAAAATGAATTGCTGTATTTCATTTCAAAATTCTATTATTTGTGAAGAGGTATATTATAATAAGCTAGGCAATGAATAGTCAGAGCATGAGCTAGACTAGAGTAGATCACCTTTGAACACACGAGATTGCAGTTGGCAGGAATGCTGAAGATGGAAGAGTTTCATTGAGTTGACAAGAGCTTGAGCAGCATATTGTGTACACCAGACAGTACAATAAAAGGAACTATGTCTGCTTTCAAGAGATGAGTATTTGGGGATTCCTAATCTTTCTAGTCCTTTAACAGTGAGCACAGAGGTCCTTCTCCTTAAGTGTCATGCTAAATCAAGAGATACAGCTTGGTATCAGACAAACCTTTTGCCTTTATGCGCTGCAGGGAGCATTGATAGCTAGGGGAGGGTAAGTTATTTCATAATGGAATTTGTACATAATCTGAATCTGAAAATTAGATTTTCCTCTGTATCTCCTGCAGTACAAATACAGAGAGGCTTTCCTGAGAGATAAAGGCCAGCAAATTGGATTTCGCAGTGCAAATGATGATCCCAAAATCAGACATGTTCTCAAAGTGGGAAAGCTCCAGAGTGAAAACCAGTACCGGAGTGGGTATGCCCAAAACAGAGTGCAGTTCAAGAGTCACCTTAACCAGCCAGGATTCCTCCATGCTAAGAGAAGCCAGCAGCTTGCCAGCAATGTTAACTACAGGCAGCCTCTTCACCAATACACGTGTGATCCTGAGCAGCTGAATGTGAAGCATGCAAAGCAGGCCTACAAGCTGCAGAGTGATGTAAGTATAGCTGAGCAGAACTGTCTCTTCAAGTGCTAGGAGGTGTCTGTGGCAATGTGTTTGGCAGACTTCACCTAGCAGCAAAGTTGTGTTCTTGAAAGAACTGAAGTTTCTTTTTTGAAAATGAGCAGTTTGTTTATCATTGATCCGATGCACTCTCCTGAAGATCCAGGGTGTGTAGTTTGAGAGCCAAATTAAATAATACACCCTGGTATATGTTTCATTCTTTCAGGTCAAATACAGGTCTGACTTGAACTGGATCAAAGGCATAGGCTGGACTCCACCAGGCTCTTACAAAGTTGAAATGGCAAGAAGAGCTGCTGAGCTGGCGTACGCTCGGGGAATGGAAATGCAAGGTGCTTCTGCTCAGTGTGAACCTGGAGCTGTAAGTAGAGTAAATCATTCTCACAAAACCCAACTGCACAGCTCACCAGAAGCATTTAATGCTTTCGAATGCTCCCTGAAGCATTCTCTCCATTATTTAAACTGAATATATATACTTTCCTCACTGAGTTCTGTGGCTGTGTCTAAACCTTAATTAAAGGAGCTTCTCTAGGGAGTTAAGCACTGCCATGGTGATGATGCCACAAGATAGGAGTTAATAATATTTTGGGATGTATTCCTTTTAGCTCATGGATGTCTTCATATCGTGGTATCTCCACAGAGATAGTGGAGGTAGAAGGGACTTCCTATACAACAACTTATATCTTTCCTTATGTCTGTAAGACATTCACATTACCATGTAATCTCCACTGACAGCTGTACTGACAAGCTCGGTGCAGATGCCTACCAGCATAATGTCAATTACTGTGGCAGGCTTTTTGTGAAGGGTGCTTCTCCTGCCTCTTTCACCCCCATCCCTACCAAGCTGCAAGAAATTGCAAGATGGGATTTTCCAGGTTTTCCTTCTTCCTCACTTCCACAGGTGTAGGTCCTGGTCTGAGATGCCGCAGCACAAGAAGGCAAAAGTCCATATGGGGACCTTGTAGCCCCTATTATTAGGAAGCATTAAGTTACCATAAAAGTTACAATAAAAGAGAAGATCTATACTGTAAATACTTGCTTCATTTAAGTTTTCACTTTGGGAACAAGCCAAAGAATAAGCCAGCCCAAGAGAAACAGGACATATCCCTGATTTACTCCCCCGTCTGAAAAGTTACTTAGGAAATGAATTATTACTGTATTTGACTAGTAGAGACTGCAGACAATATCATCTTAAGCCCTACATTTGGCTAAGATCTGGTAGTTCTGGGGAAATCTGCAGGTACGTTATCCGTATGGAAATCAGGTGTTGTTCTGGTTTGCTGTAGAAATTAGGACTTGAGCACATTCCATCCTTGGATGTTTGTGTTTCACTTAGGTGCGTGGGTCAGTTATTTGCATGTTTTCCTGATTAGTTGAGTTCAGAGCAGCCCTTTAGATTATGCCCACTAGTTTGCCAGTTAGTCTTTAATTTATAAATATTTTTACACAATAATAAAACAATTAAAACCTTCTCCTGTCCACTGGCTGTCCACACAATTTGGTTGGGTTTAATCTTGCAGGACCAGTCGGAGACAGACGGATGTCAGCAAGTTTCAGTCAACCCTGATGCTTCAGAAATTCTGCAAGTGAAGAGAAGGAAAATGCAGCTGTATAAGAAATAATCAGAAACATGGCACAAAATAATTAGATGTTTTTTCAGCTTGTCTGCAAATCCTTAGCTTTTCCAGTTTTCCAGGAAGCAAAATACTTGGCATCTATGATTTTAAAACACAACCTACACATTGCAACTTTAAAACTGATCTTTCTATTATTTTTGTGTGTGAATACTGTGTTATTTACGAAGTATTTATTTAAAGCTGTAAATGAAATTAATACTAGATGACTGGCAGGCTCAGCTTTGTACTACAGATGAATGAATCTGATTGGTAGAATATAAAATCATTTGTATTGAATAAATCAAGTGAACCTGATTCTGTACTTGTCGTCTTTGGAAACATTTATGTTTCTGTATTATTGATACCATTGACTTAAGAGGATACAAAAGTGTGATTTAAGTGGCTTAACCGATGAACAAGACAAGGGCCAATGGAAGAGAAGTCATCATTGTCTAACAGGTTATGTCTTTTAATGGATACCAGAGAGGTTGTTCTTGATTTACAGTATATTCAGATCACAATTAACTCTTCAGTCTTTTTCAAATCTTCTGATGCAAAAAATCACCGTTAGTTCGTCACAAATTATTGCAATGGAGTAGCTATTGATAGATTCGGTAGCTGCTTAGTTGTACGCCCTAGAACTCAGATGAAAGAGACATGACTGATTTAATGAATTGACTCCTCACATGCAAGCATGTCTATTTTTATGTTCTGATTTAACACCAATCCCATTTTCCAAATTTCCCATTAGGGCTGCAGAATCAGGCAAAAATACACACTTTTGCCTGCAAACCTTCTGAAAACCATAGAATTATCCAAGAGCTTTAGATCTAAATCTTCAAAGGGTTTTAAAAGCCTGTAGGTGTCATTGGTATGAAGTGCAGTTAAGCACATATATATCATTGTGGCTCTGGAGCATAATGACTAAATTATCAGAAGTAAAGAGAATATTTTTGCTAGTGATTTTTTTTTTCCTCCTCCTTCAACCTGGAATCCATCAATGATGGAATTCAGGGTTGTTAGCCCTACAGAAGGGCTTTAAAAAGTATTTCTCCTGCCTGACCCTAACTCGTCAGATTATTCCAGTGGTCCCAGTCTTGCAAACACCGACACGGGAGGCATTTGCAAATACATAAAATACCAGGGACTTGGGAGCACACACCAGCAGCTTTGATGTGTTAGATTCCAGTGGCTGTAGTCAGACACCTCAGCAAGATGCGTGCGGGGAAGAGGGAAAGGGGGTAGCAGCTGAGCCTGCAAGATTTTCAGGGGCAAGGACTTGAAAAGCAAAATGGAAAAATGAGTGTTGCTGTGGCTGACTTAAAGGAGAACTGGTGTTTCTTCAGATTCTGATCGGTTTTGCCTACAAAAAGATGATTTACTTCAAAAAAAACCCAGGAAAACTATAATCAACATTCTGTTATTCACTCCAATGCCTTTTCCAACATTGGAAACCCCATTGAGGCCATGAGAAGCCTTTGTAAAGGTTCTGATTGAGGAAGAAGAGGTTGGGGAAAAGACTAAAAACTAAGTAAATTTCTCAGTCTTACCATCTGCTGCTCCACATTCAGTCTCTTAATGAAGTGACCTTGACTCGAACTGAATTTTGGATTTAACCCAACTGAGGAATCTTGTCACCTGAGTGTAGACTCCTGGCTTGCTTTTTAAACCGCACTGATCGCCCCAGCTCACAAGGCCGTACGCATAGTAGGAGCCATTTTCTGCACAGGTTAGAGGGCCTCCGGAATCTCCCTAAGAGGAAAAGCAATGCAAGTACAAAATACAAAATGTGAAGCAAAATGTTTACAATAAAAGCACCACTTCTCATTAAAAGACTTTTGGGTAATTTTCTTTCTTAGCAGCTATCGCAACGGGTGCTGCTTCATTGGCCCTTTGGATGAGCAGTTCTTTTGGAATCAGGTCAGACGTTCTTAGATGTAAGGTTTTGTTTAAGTCTTTGACGTGTATCTAACAAGGTCACATGGAAATTCTCAGTCCTGAGGTACTAGGAGTACCCCCGAAAAGATGAAGATATGATCCTATGCCTGTATGAAAGCACTTGGTATCCACCTGCACCCCGCAAAATTACAACAGCAAAACTTTATTCTGAGATGACTGATCTCATTCTGCAGTTTTACCTGTGGTTCCATTGCTCAGTATGTTTGCAGTGGTAGTTTGCACCTCAGGAAGCATTGCTTGAGCTCTTGCCCAGGCTTGCAACAGTGTAAAAATGAGCTTGCTTCCCGTTGGCACTAGCGTAATGAAAAGAAACATCGATCCTGACTTTCCCTATAAGTATTAGCTCTGATTGTGAAAACCAAGTTGGAATTTTTGCTGAGACAGATGCTGTAACATAATGGAGAGGAAAAAAAAACCCTAAATTTTTAGCTTACTCTGATAAACTGACTCAGAAACCAAACTTTTTCCAGGCAGGTCTCTAGCTTCCATAGATCTGCTTGTGGCTGACAGGGATGACATTAGCTCTAGGGATATAAATCTCAAACTGTACTGAAGAAAGATGATGGCTCTTGAAATACACTGATGGGAGAAACAGATACATATGCAGTACCCTTCCAAAGCTATTACTCTGCACAGCCTGACTGTTTACATGGGAAATTAGTGTTCAAATACAGAAAAAGCAACAGACCTGACAGGAATCAATTCCAGACCTCTGAAGATTTCCTGCACAGAACATGCTTTCATCCAGGATCTGACCGTATGCTCTCGGTGCGTTGCAGTGCCTCTGTGAAATCAGCTTGACATTGGCGTCCAACAGCTGGTGGGATTCCTCATCTACAGGACGTGCACCAGAAAATCCAGTCACCTTCCTCCCAAGCCTGTTATGTGTTGTCTTTGTTCAAAATAGGGGCTTGTTGGCCCTTTGGTTGGGAAAGGGGAACTGGGGGTGGTGGGGGCGGAATTCATGGGCTGGTCAGTCTCAATTAATACAATTAGAGCCTGGAAGCATCACTCAGGACACTGGTTGTTGCCTAACAAAAGCAAAATGAGAATCTGGCTCAGAAGAGCTCTACATGTGGCCCTCTGCCTTTCAAAGGTGCCGGTCTGCAGCTCCCAGTGGTCTCGGGGGACATCAGTGAGACGTGTTCAGCAGTTCTCAGATTGATACCACGGGCTGTTTTAATGAGCAAACTAATGAAACAGGTGGAAACTGGAAATTATACAATATTTGAAGGCAAATGTTTAATTATAGTGGATCTAAAGACATTAACTTGACATCTAAAGGCAGTAGCCAGATTTTCCACACACTACATCTGTAGATAATTAAAGGTGATTTATAAGTTTGGTTATACTTGAGTTTCAGGAAATATTCCATTTCTGCACTGATTTCCTGAAATGCTAATAATAGCTCTGCTGAAAGAAGGAGCCATCTAGTTTAAACATGAACAGGGTACTTCATATTCTTTGTTGGAAAAAAAAAAATAAAAAAAACCCTCATACCCTTTTTAAGAGACTTTTTATTTGGAACTTTAAAAAATGTCCATTAAATTATGTTGGTGCATTCTGATCAAATGAATACATTTGTCTCTTGTGGACTTCAATGAGAGTTACATCAGAAGGGAGAATATGGTCCTAAGTATCGTGTCTGACTGTATCAGTCACAAAGCAGTAGGACACCTACTGCAGCCTCCCTGACACATCTTCCTTCTGCTGCTTTACAGCAACACATCAATCAGAACATGAGAAAATGCATTTTTCAGAAAACTGCCATTATCCTTTTTTAAGCATAGTAATTTCTCCCCTCAGGATTTACTGTGGGCAAGAAAGGTTTTGGATAGCGCTGGTTGAACTTGAAAAGCTTTGGATTCTTTTTTTTATTATTATTATTTTTCTGTGCATCTGAAGATCCAGATGCTGCTTCTAAAAAGCTTTATCTGACCCAATGGGTTGGAAAACCATGTGAATGTCCCAGTCTCTCTCAGTCTTGCCTTAAAATGCACAAGCTATGCAATAGCCTCTCCCTCTTAATATTTTTTTGCTGGTTTTACTGGCTCCAGATGAAACCAAGACATGGTGTATCAGGGGAAACAAACAAACAAACAAAAGTGAAAAATTCTTTTTTTCAAAACTTTCTGACAGGTTTGGTTAGTCTAATAGTGGGAGACGTCAGTTAATGATTGATTTCCTAGGATAGTTTACTTGTCTTTGATTTTGAATTCCATGTTTTTGTTTCACTGAGTGCCTAGACCCACCTTTGGTTCTAGCAGTTGTTGCTGAAGGAGCCAGGCCCCCTTTCCAAGGAAACATCAACCAAAGGCAAGACAGCCCACAAATACCTGTCTCTGTGGCACCCCATCCTGAGATGAAGCAGTCAGTCCCATCAGGAAAGTCAAAGTTAGGCAAACAGGCTGTTTTCACATACTTCGTTTCCACAGCACAGTGACCATCAATTGGCTTCAGCTTCAGCAGTGCTGGATACAAGATAAAAATCAACAACAACAAAAATTATAATTAATTCTAGTCCTTATCAGTCTGTAACATAACTTCATGAAGGCTACAATTTCTGACATGTTATTTACATCAAATGACGGGTCTGTCACCATGTTTTTAATTCTTTCCACACCATGACTTCTGCCTGGCCATCATGATTCCCACCCCAAACATCCAAGGAATGTGAGCCTCAATTTGCCTAATTACTTCTGGAATACATTATCAGATGGAAATTTGATACTGGCTTCATTTGAAGAGAAATGCTTCAAGCAAGTGAGCCACATGATTACTCAAGAGGAGGGATTTACCAATATCATTGTATTGGACACCATCTGCTTCTTTGTATTTGTAATGTACAATAGTCTTCTCCACATCAAATATTTGCTCTTGAGGCTCTCTCTTCTTGAGGTCTTGCTTTCCAAGGGCCACTTGGAGATGTTCTGCTGAGTATCTGTAAAAAGAGTAAAGCAAATTATGTGTAGACATCTTATGTCAGAGTGGTGACAACCTACTGCTTTAGTATGTGGAAGTTAAAAAAGCTTCTTCCTGTTGTTGTAGAGCACAGGCAGGAGATTTCAAGAGGTTATTTATATATATATTAGTCAGGAAAGCTGTGATGTTGGCCTGTATACTCTGTGCTCTTAACTTGTTGCAATAATGATGGACAGTAAGTTTAAAGCGGCATGAATGTGTTCTTTTTTTTTTTGCATTTAGAGCAGAGTGTTCAAACAGTCTATTGCTGTGGCTGTGACAAAGAATGGTAATTCATGGAGCCGTGGGAGTTATAACTAAAACCATATGTGCCAGAACGTTAGATGGAGTGGAATATGCCAATATTCAAGGTTAGCATTTCTAACCCTTCAGGAAAAAAAAGCTCAAAGAAGTTCAAAATGTAATATCATAAGCTAACAGGTATGTAACCAGTTGGGAGCACAAAGCAGGTTTTGGCTCTTCTGCCTCTTCTAGCTCAATTCAGGTGATTAGGAAAGTAAGTTTAATTTGTTCCTTTAGCAAGTACATTTTAAAATACATGTATAGTTTAACATACATGCTTCATGTATATATTTTTTCCTGTGTATCCTTTCCTTTAAATTTGTTGCTAGCAATGATTTGGACTGCAAAATTGAAGGCGTCTTTACCAGGCACTCTCCCTTACTATGTTTAGCTACCTAGACATAGGACTTGAGGACTTGCACCTACTCAATGCAATGTCCAGCAGTAAGAACCCAGCATGGTTTAATTAGCACTCCACCACAGAAATGCCTGCCCCTCCTGGAAGTCTTTTTCTGTAGAGATACCATCCATGGGTGTTTGCCAGCTTTAGTCTTGGCTCCACCATAGATCCTCTTGAGAGGTCTTTGACTCTCTACTTGTCCACATGTTTTGAATTCTTCGTTTGATGCAGGTGGCTCAGTCAGGCTCTCTGTTTCCTCTGGGATCTCTTCAGCTGCATTGGGAGAGACAGCAGATGTGTAATACAGGGGTTACACTAGAGAGGGATAGAAAGTTGTGACTGGGACAGTTAAGTAGCAGGGGGTGCCTCTCACTGTTGGGACAGTTGGTTACACTGCAATTCTGCAGGCATGGCTGGTGCCTGTGGAAGAAGCTATTTTTTTTTTTTCTGGGGACTTAGGAGTATGATGGGGACATTTTGAGAAATGAGAAAGTAGAGTTAATAAAAAAAAAAAGATTTTATCCAACTTGAAAAATTCTATACCTTGTTTTAGACATAACTCTGTCTCTAGTAATTATTCTGTTAGCACCCCATTGCCTAGATAAAACAGTCTATATGGAAATACTATCAAATTCTTTGACATCCGAATCAATGCAGTAAAGGGTCTTCATGTGGAAGATCTGTTGTGAATCCTCCCAATGTGTGCCATCCCTCTTCCATCTCCTGACCTAGATTAAACCTGGCAATGAGAAGACCCAGATAAAGAAACAAAAATCATCTTTAAAGACTCTTGAAATATTTAGGTTTTGTCAGACCTAGCTAAGCCTAGAAACAATTCAGTCTGAAGTACGTGAGCTCACTCACTCTGAACTAACTTTTACTTCTCGTAGTTTCCCAATATTCCTTTGGATAGATCCTCACCATAAGTAAATCCCAGAGCCTCACAGTAAGCCCTGCAAATTCTAGCTCTAACATCACTTTACTGTTTTGTGGGCATGTGATTTTGCCCTGCTATGCGAGGTGCTTGCAGACATTGGGCAACTTGAGCACTTTCCCTTCTAGATATACATGGTGCAGCACAGCTAAAGGAGCGTGGCAGATATGGAACTTGAACCTGATTTGACTGCTTTGAACTTGGATACCCTGGGTACTGCAGGAATCACTTATGTCAGGGCAGAACTTACAGGAACGCGATTTAAAATAAAATAACAAACACGCCACAGTTCTGTGGCACTGACTTGTCATGTATCTGTGCGTTCAGCTCAAGGCACCTGCTGGCTGGAGCACCTTCACACTGCCAAACAGCTTACGTAAAATTTTCCAGTCTACCTGTTTCTGAGCAGGGTGAAATGTCACAGAAGTCCCATTCCACCTTGTTATTGTTCTTGATGTAGCACCAGGGTTTTTCATCACCATCAGGATTCCTGTAGGGAACAACTGACAGCATCAGCCGACCAGACTGGGGAGAAGTCTCCATGAAACTGGCTTACATGAGGACACTTAGCAGAGCAGCCTCATGTTCCGTCATGAGCACAGAGCTTTCAGAAATGTTCCTTTTGAGAAATGAATTTTTTAAGTTTTGAGAAAGATGATGCTGAGGTGGGGAGGAATGCGGGAGGAAAGAAAGGATCTCTGTCATTATCCCCACACATGTAAACTTTGAGAAAAAAAATGATAAAAAACCCTAGGTTATTCAGAGAAATTACAGAAGCCTCTAAAAGTCTCAGATCAGTACAGTGACTTAGGAAATGCCACTATAACATCCTGTTATCTTCTAGACAGGCAGTGTATCACAAGATGTGAGATCCTAACACCACTAAAGACGTATCTAGCCTTACCAAATCCACGGGAGCAGCTTGTACTCACTGCTTTCCTCACCAGAGTCCTCTGCAGTTGCTTTTGCAAAACATTACCTGCAGAAGTTATGGTCACCAATGCCATAAGAGTCAGCATCCTTCATAAATGCATTAATGGGGTAGTCCAAGAGACTGTGGGAATTCCAGTGCAGGCAAGTCTTTCCATCCACTAACTGGTTCACATTTCCCCTGTAGTGGAGGGATCCCTCTTCATAGCAATCATCTGGTCCTGTAAGGAGAAAATTCTGATATGGAAATGTCTCTTCTGATGTTCCTTCCCTGAAGCAGTTCCTCTTCGTTTCCCTTCTTGCCCTACTGTTCAATTCTTAGAGGAGCTGAAGAAGTGTAGGACCCAACAGTTCACCTAATGATAATCCTTTACCTTAGGTAGGACAGAAATAATAATCATCTGTCCAGTCTGAATATGGACTAGCTTCAAACACCTGAAACTTCTGTGCATTGTAAGAACTTAATGGCTAAATGGTGTCTCCCAGTGGTCTGTCCATGAGAAGTTGTCACCAGGATTAGCCAGAACTGGCTGTAGAACTGCTATCACGACAAGGGAACAGAGGTACCAAAAGGAAAGTTGTGGGTTGTGGACCTTACCTGTAGGCAGTTGGAGGAAAGGGCATCTGTAATGAGGTGCACTCATCTTACATGGAGTTTATCAATAGACTTTTTACAAGAGAATGAAACAAGTTCTGCTCCTCAGAAGTAAGTGTGGGCTGTGGTGTCTGCAGTGCTTGAGAAACCCTGACTTTCCTTACTCTTGAGTCACATCAGAGCTCTGGAAATGTGTTTTCATCAATTTGTTTCTAGTGAGAGCTAGCTGAAGCAGTGTAGCAAATATCAATCATGGAGCTGTTTTGGACCCAGTGGCTGATGGTGGCTTATCCCTGGAATGGTGACGTACCAATTTCACAGGTTCTTCCTCTAAATGGTTCAGGACACTCACAGCTGAATTTTGATCTGATTCTGTGCCGTATACAGACACCTCCATTTTTGCACGGGTTTGGCCTGCACGGTGAAGATGCTGTCAACATGGAAAACACAGATCAGGTTTGTTACTTTGCTAAAAGCTGTGCAGCCTCTCACACAATTGATGGAAATAAGAGAAAGCTCCCATTTAGCCTGCAACTTTAGCTTCTTATGAACTCTAAGATGCTCATCACCATAGGGATGAGCTGCCACCTGGTAAATCAGACATGAATGTGTGGGCTGGGGTTATGCTGTGGTGGGACTGTGCTCACCTCGGCGGCAGTCGGGCGATTGGTAGGGGTGGCTGCAGCTGCACTGGAAGTAAGGTGAGGTTAAGGTAATGAGGCAGTCTCCTCTGACGCACCTCTTCTCCTGACACGTGTCTTTCACTGTGGCGAGGCCCAATAAAACAGAAAAAATAGATGTTTCATCAGCATTTGCTTTTCACAGCATCTGCAGCAAAGGGGCTGTAAGACCCACAGGCAACTCAGCACTGCCTGCCCCGCGCGCTGGGAGCAGGGATGTGCTTTCTGAACACGTGCAGTGCACTTTACTGAGGACTGCTTTCAAAAGATGCTGGTCTCGCCTGTGAGATGGTTGCAAGATCTACTGATACAGCTACACAGGTCTGCCCAAACCCTCACTTCGGTGAAAAGGTTCTCCTAAAGCACTGTATTTGCTTCCATTGATGCAGCTGTAATGGTAATGAAGATAAGGATGTAAGCCATGGAAAGGAGCCTACCTTTCTCACACGTGGGGCCCGTGTATGGCTGGGGGCAGTGGCAGCTGAAGTGACTTCCTTCCTTTTCACACTGGCCATCATTCTTGCAGGGATTGGAGGAGCATGGATCTGCCAGGGTAAGAGGCCATTTTTTTTAGTTTTTCTTTCAGCTTCTGCACCTTTGTCACTTGTGTTCTCAAGTTTTTTGACCCACTAACAGGCACCACTGGCGTTGTGCAGAAGGCTGGTAAAGCTCTCCCCTCCACACCAGGTTGCCAGCACTGCCAGGGGCTGGGGGCAAACAAAGCAGCCAGACACCACCTCTGCTTTCCTCGTGCAAGGGATAACCCTTGGGGAGGTTGTAACCGGCTGCCTGCCTCTTATTTTATGTTCAAAAGAAAATTTGCGTTCCAATTCAAAGCAGTTTTGAGGATCCTTTCCTGCTCTCCTGAAGTGTGGTGAAACACAAAAAGAAACTTATATCTTGGAGAGAATAAGAAAAAAAAAATAAAAGAAAGAAAGAAAAAAAGCAAACCTGCTCTACATTTGGGTTCTGAGCATAAATACAGAACATATATCCCATGAAAACAGCAATTACATCTTACAGTGTCTATAGACAAATAAGTCTGTGTTTTTTGTAGTAGCAATCAGAAATGTTCTGCATGATCAGAATCCATCCTGTGAAACCCAGAGATAAAACACAGGCTCCTTACAAGAGAAATACAAAGGAGAACACTGCAAACAATCCTCCTAACTCGTCCCTTTGATGCAGGCATTTCCAGAGCGTGCTGGCAGATGAGGCCTGCCACGCTCACACTGAAAATGTAGCGTAGGGATTTTACCCCTTCCTCGCCTCCCTGCCCACCCCACCAAGGTGCAGAGTTACTGATACCTTTTCTAGCACTACCGTAGCCAAACATTTCCTCAAACCAGTCGGGATCCTCAGCATATTCTCTCTGGAGGGGTTCCTCTTCTGGCTCCGTATACTCATCGTAGTACTCATAGTCATCAGGCTGGTCTGGAGGGAGCGTGAAGAGAAGGGAGGAAGCACAGAAGTACTAAAATGCAGTTAAGAAGGTTTTAAAAAAATAAATCCTTTGGAGGGCCAAGCTTTTTCTCCTCAGGCTCACTTGGGACTTCACAGCATAGTGGGTCCAAGCTTGCATCCCTTGGAAGGGAAGTCATGGCTTACCTGCCCTGGCTGGTACTGTGAAGCACAACCTGTATCTGCCTCGAGTTTGTAGAGGAGGCAGCAAGGCAGCCCCTGCACGCTGCTCGTCCCAGCTTTGCTGCTGCAGCCGGGAGCACTGCTGTGCTCCAGGGACTGCCCCTGCGCTGTTGGGTGACAGGAGCCGGGACGCCCCCGGTTGGATGTGGCTTGGTTGCCCTTGGCCAGCTGAGAGTCTGGGATGTGCTCCTCAGTACATGCCACAGAAATACATGAGCCCAACACTCAGGCCCGGAACCAGAAGAAGACCCTGGTGCTTGCAACAGGACAGATGTGATAAGATAAGGCGATTTAGAGCCCTACAAGAATAAGAGGCTTTCTTTGTCTTCCTGCTGTGACTACCAGAATCGTGGCAGTGTGAGGCAAGAGCCTGCAAGGCCTGCAGCTGCCCGTGGCCTCCTGTGGCACAGACCTTCCCCAGGGGAGAGATGGGCCACGGCGGAGCAGCCGGCACCGCGCGGGCGCTCTGCAGCCTCCCACCAGCTCCGCGTGCTGCCCGGGCAGCCCCTGCTCATCCCGGTTCCCGTCCCCGTCCCGCTGGCAGCTCCAGTGGCAGGTGCTGATTGAGGGGGGCTGGCGCCTCTCGGCAGGGACACGCACCCAGCGGGAGCCACGCGGCTCTTCACAGGCGCTCCGAGAACGAGCAAAGCCGAGCGACACGCGGAGACGTCTTAGGAAGCTCTCCTCTAGGGCCGGCCTGATGGCCCCTCGATAATGCTCTGCCTTGCACTGATTATCGGCCGCATTATCTTAGTTTTCTCCCTTCATTCATTCGCTTACAGCCTTTATCTTTAGTCTTTCTTTGCTCCAGGAAAAAAAAAGAAATTCCACTTTTGTACAATGGGTGTTTTATATTTCATATTAAAATAGAACAGTCTTTTTTTCTTCTTCTTTTTTTTTTTTTTCTACATGCCTACTCTCCTTTCTCACCAAAAAGAAAAAAAAAAAAAAGACAGGAAAGTTTCACCTCATTTATTGCTCTGTCAAGTCAAGACTCCTTTTCCCCAGCTCATTATTTCCACGGGAGCTGAGTCTCAGCAGCGTGCAAGTGCTGCAGGAGTGGGTGCTTCGCTAGGGAACAGGAGGATCTCGCTGGGAGATAAGGACATTGTCTGCAGTGAGCAAAATTAAATTTAATGTGATGTAGTTAAGACAGGAAAACAAAAAGGGGGCTCTGTCTGGAACGTAGCCCGTGAGCTCGCTGTGTGGGAGCCTTTGCAAGCTGACTGGAGTTCGAGGGACTATGCCGAACGAGTTGGATTTTGTTTCTCCTGTTTATTTTACAGAATCTTAGAAATGTTGGCTTTATTCCACAGGTGGGTGCTTTAAAGAGTGATTCTGAGGGATTGGGCAGCCCTTTATATACAAAAGTGGTACCTGCAGTATTAATGGCACACATGAAGAGAGCTTAGATAACACCAACACTTTGGGGTACTCCACAGCAAACATTGAGACTCAGTAAAGTGGAGGCATCCAACTGGGAAACCCTGCCCAGGCTGGCATAAGATTGCAGTAAATTCGAGAAACCACCAGTCCCTGCGGGATCTATCACAGCCCTCCCTTTAGTTTATGGAAAATTGGAAAATGAAAGAGCAATGACAAACTATGCGAGTGATAGTTCCCATCTTCCAGCCACTCTGTGTCCTCCACAGCAGCATGAAGCAGTAAAAAACAAAAACGAAAGAGCCCTGAATTGGATACATGACATCAAACTGAAATGTGTCTTCCTATTTATTACTGCTTCAACACTAAATAACTATTTGGCTTCTACATCTCTTATTTAAGAAGTATTCCCATTCCATTTTTTTAATTATTCATAACAAGCCATAGGTTTAGTAAAGCAAAAACAACATTTTTTTTTTATCTGAGCACATAATTAACGCACAAAGTCTGATACACTGGTTGAGTTAAACGTATTACTAAATCAGAGTGTTCATTCTTTGTAAGTGCTGGAAAACCTTAACATGCTTAAAAAAGCAGTGATCTGACATTTGTCACTGAAATGTGACTATTACATGAAATTAAATTAGACATCCTGCATGCAAATTTTCAAAGAATAACTTTCCTCTGTGTAGTACAAAAAAAAAAAAAAAAAAAAAAAAAAAAAAATCCCCCCATAATTGATAGGCAGGGATTGACTTTTAAAGCTTCAAATCAGCTTTGAGGTTTGGGTGATCTTTTAAACTGCTCGAGCTTTCATCTGCAGGTTTTCACATTGCTGAGAGCTGTCAATCAAGTAATGGATTTCTGATCAATATCCCCTTGTTCATTAACTTACACGGACTCTCTCTCTTGTGGAGAGAATAGATAGCCCAACACTGGCAGTCACACTGTTTTCAAAACCTTCGCCAGATCAAGTCATGACTAATGTTCCAAGTGGGAATATGATGCATTCGAACATCATCCAAGCGACCTGAATTGCAAGGTAACTTTGCTGGACTGCAGTTGTCAGGATGAGTGATGGGCAAAGTTAAAGCCACTGCAAACCCACATCAAGGTGGCCACGAAGCACCCAGCATTTATTCCAGCTCTCAGGAACGCTGGGGACTGGCTGACATCTGCTCTAATTTCAGTAGTTTTTTTTTCTCACAACCTTTCTGAATATTTTCTCTGTCTGGGAGGAATAGAAAGCTATTTTATGAGGCTGAAATCTTGACTGTATTTTACATGATGATAGGTCTCCCATTTACTTCTGCAGAGACTGGATAGGCATCATGGTATGTTGGCTCTTCCACATGGGCCTTGGCTGAGGGTATCTGCAACCTTGAACAGGGATTGCAAAAGAAAAAGAGCTAACAGCAAAGCAGGCTGTCCTTCAAATACCATTTTGTGGCTGTTGCTTCATCTCAGTTTCACAGTGACTTTTCCTGGGAATGGTAGGGCACCACGCAAGGCTGCTGCGGAAAGCTGGGAGCCAAGTGCATGACTGAACAACCAAATATTTGCACAAGCTCAATACTGTGCTCAAACACCAGAATCATTCTGAAATTTGTTTTCCATGCACATCTTTCTAAAAGAGTAACAGTGATTTGGGGAAAGAAACAGTTGTTGTATGAGCTTTAGGGTTGCTGGATTCCCAGCTTTCACCAGGAAGCCAGCAAGATAATTAAATGAATAGAAATATAGCTAAATAAGGAGTGTTTGGTGAAAGCCACATTATTTTGGCATGAAAAGGGTAAAATTATTAGTTGTAAATTTCAAGTTCAGATATAAGAGCCATCGAAATGAAGAAAAGAAAGTGCAGCTTTTACCCACAACATGACTAAACTTAATAAAGCCTTAATTCCCCACATAGATCACATAGGCTGTTAAGGAAGTACAAATGCTCACCCTACATCTGCACATCTGCACACAACATCCATCAGAATCTCACTCCCAAATCACTCCTTTTCCTGCTATTAACATGTTAACATCCATAACTATCAAGGATTTTTACCGCCATGAACTAGGAAATACCTTTTGAACCTGCTTGCATTTTGGATATGCTTGCAATATTAAGTCCCATAATTAGTTGTATGCTGCAAAAAAGCATGAACCTGCAGAAATCTGACCCTCAGTTTTCACGCCCAGCTCACAGAGCCAGGTTCTTTCCTCATCCTCCTCGGCCTGAGGATTGCAGTCTGGCATGGAGACCCACCGAGCACAGCATGTCAGACCCTGCTTGCCCGCGGATCCCTCAACATGCACTGAGCACCTCAGGCCTCAGAGTGGCCCAGAGAAGACCTGGCTTTGATCTGCACTGTGAGAAGCAGGACTCTCCCAAGATCAGCTGCAATTCAGTACCACGGCAGCTCCCAGCAAGGATACAGAGCTGTCCAATTGTCTCCTGCCCCGAAGCAGAGCACATGGGAATGTTTGACTCCATGTGGAGAGAGGGAGAAAGTAAATCTGAAGGTGTGTATGAGGCATGAGGTATATGTTTAGGCAAGGTTTACTAGCCTAAAGTCAGGCTTTTCTGGATGATGTGCTTTATTTTAAGTACAACAAAGCTGTTTGTTAAGTTCTTAAAACTCAGTGCAAGGATCTAGCTAAGGGTCTTGGTGAAGTAGGTTGTACTTACTTTTATGGAGGAAAGCAAAAGCACTTACCACTCAGAAGGTCGACCAGGAAGAAGAGACTGCCAGACTGCAGGGGATAAAGAAGGGTAGAGAGTCACTTTCTGAAACCACAACAGGAGCTTCGTTGTAACACACTTGGCGACAGGTTCTATTCTGCTCCAGGACGTGAAATCAATGTCACCTCTTGACCTCTTTCAGAGCTGAACCAAAAGGCTTAATTTTTTAAGTGCTCTTTCAGAAGATTATCAAAATATCAACTGCTATCAAGAGCTTACAGAAGAGCCCTATCTCTTTGGAGCACCCAACTTCAGTTGCAGAGCAAAACGCTCTCCAAAAACAAGTCCTGAATGAGTTAAATTGCTCCTTTGCTTAATAAATGACCGTGCATTGACTCTTTATCTCACGTCACTTCTCTGAAGTCACACAGGCCCAGTGGCAGTGACACACTCGACATAGCGGTGCCCAGGTCAACATGTGCGGGCACAGACCAGGAGCCCAAGGGAGGATTGTGGGACCTGGACCTTCGAGCTGGAGGGTTATCAGAAGAGCTTCAATGGAGGAGAGCATTTCTGGTACTTCCTAAGAGGAAATGTCATGCGCTCGACCTCCAAAGTAGGGCTCCAGCCTTTCCTGCTTGGCTCATGATCAAGGGCAAATGACAAAAAGGAAGAGAAGGAAAACAGCCCTCAGCCTTTGAAGAGAGTGAGCAAAGCTTGTCTGGAAAGAAACGCACTGGCTCCACACTAGGACTCATCCTCCACATGAAGAATTCAGCTTGTGTTTCCTTGTGCACTAAATCACAGTGGCAGACAGAATTACCTGGCTGTGATGAGAATGTCCATGCTAAAAACGAGTTCAAAGGAGTCAATTTGGAGTTGCTATTCTTTACCTCTCGTAGAATTTGTAGGAAGGAAGTGTAATTCCAAACAAATAAGTGTATGTATTCAAAAGAGTATACACACACAACATAAAAACTCCCAATTATTATGTGTACTCATTGCTATAGATGCAATTAACTAAATATATAAATTTTTTAGTTGTATATTACATTAAAAAATGGCATAGAGAAGAAAGGCATTCACAGCGAAACACTGATTGTATACAAGAATGAATGAGTGAGAAATCAGACAAATAAGTCAGAATTAACATTTGGGAATATTACCTGGAATGTGTAAACAAATTTGCTTTGGACATATTTCTGTCCCTCTAAATGGAGCATATGCCTCCCTTTGGGATGAGTAGAAAAAATACATAATTTCTTCCTCTGTTCTCTCTGTGGTGCCCCTTTGAGCCACTTGCCTAGTGGGGCTGTAAGGGGTTTTGGATCAGAAGTGTTTGTTTGCAGCAAAGTTGCTGAGTCTTCCCTACACTTAGAGCAGTCATTGACTTCATGTGGGAATTCCAGCAGGTTTCAGCTCAGAGTGGGAAGCATGGGAGGAGTTTGCTCCATGCCCCAATGTGCCTCAGTTTTCCCTAGCTGTAAACCAGAGGCAATGGTCTCAAATTGTCCTCAGAGGATGGCATATGAAACTAGAAAAAGAGAAAAGGGACCTCGCACTTTGCTGTACTCTTTTCTTTTCTAGCATCCCGGTCTGGCTACCCATTTTGCCTGTGATTCCAACCACTCCTCCGTGAGCAGAGCTGCCTGCAAGGTGGCAGATGTCCCAACATCCCTGCTCCAATAACCTGTATTGTGTGACGTGTGGGATGAGGGATGTGTGCGATGCGGGATGTTTGGGATGCGCGATGTTTGGGATGTGTGGGATGCGGGATGTGTAGGATGCGGGATGTTCGGGATGTTCGGGATGTTCAGGATGTGCGGGATGTGCGGGATGTTCGGGATGTTCAGGATGTGCGGGATGTGCGGGATGTTCGAGATGCAGGACGTGCGGGACGTGGGATGTGCGGGATGTTCGGGATGCGGGATGCAGGTGCAGGCTGTGCGCGAGGGCCGTGCCGCTCTCCATGCCGTATTCCTCATGGCCAGCAGAGGAGGATCTTGTCCTTCCGACGAGGTGCAAAGCTGAGTCCAGCCGGGAGCAGGATTCAGACAAAAGCAGGGGGAGGGAGGGAAACTAGAGCGTGGTGCAGGTTTCTGCAGCCCCGTTCTGCAGCTCCACACGGGTACTTTCTGTGTGCTCTCAAGAGGGAATAAAATCACTGGATCCTGTTCGTAGAAGGTCTTCGGAGAATGGGGACGAAGGTGGAAGAATTCACGGAGAGCAATTTTAAATTTTATTACTTGGTGCTCATAAAAGAGAAACCTTGCAAAAAAAGTCTAGGAGAGGCATTTTTTAGTCTGCACAGCTGAATGTGCAGTTAGGCTACTAGAGAAATGGAGGAAAGAAGTTTGAAATTCAGAATATCATAATTTCACCAAACCTCTGCCATCATCATCATAAGGATGAGCACTTCACTAAAGTTTCATTTCTCCAAAGAACATCAAAATTTCACTAATTAGCCTTTGTACAAAAGTTAAGCACTGCAGATATAGGATACTCTCTATTGTTCTATTTCAAGTCCTCAAAAACGGAAGACTAATGAAATATAATAGTTTTCTAATGGTAATGCCAGAACCGTGAATTTTCTTGGCCTCACGACAGAATCCTGAAGATCTTTCTCAGACAAAAATATCTAGTTACTCTCTGGAAATTTGTCTTGAAGACAGCCAGAAAGATTTGACCATAGATTCAACAGAAATTATTTACAGCTGCCAAGGGCACTCTGCAACTGAACTGCTGTGTTTCAAGTACCTTTGCTGCCCCATATTGCAATCAAAATGAATAATTAAACTATAAAAGCAGGTGGAGAACCAGGTGGCACAAAGGAGAAAACCCAGGGCTAGCCTGTGAATTTACATACATGCAAAACAGAAGTTATTCCAGAGAAGAAGGAGTAGTGACTCAAGCTGCCATGGCAGACTAGCAGAAGAAAGCCTGGGATGAAAGGTGTCCTCCCCCACGCAGGAGGATGCTCAGACACACACGCATACTTCCCAAGAAAGCACTACAGGAACACAGAATTAAGCTGCATAAGTGTGAATTGACCTGCTCCCTCAATTGCATTAGGTTGTGGAAATTCTCCTGCAATTTGCCATGCCGTGTCCTCTACTGCAGCAAAGCGAATATTACCCCTTTCGTTCATCCCTCAGCACAACCATAGATTCGCAGGTGGGAAGGATGCAGAATGGGGATGGACTGGAGAATGAAGACAGATATGTGAACAATTTCTATCCACAACTGCCATAAGGAATGAAGGAGCCAGGAGGGCAACTACTGCCTTTTCTTAGTGAACCCCTTGATGCTGCTGACAGCTCTCAGTGGGAACCTTTGTCTGGGCTTCTCGCCAAAGGAGGAGGGAATCCACGGTTGTGATGCTCTTACAATCGTCCAGATTTTTGCCTGCAACCATCTTGGATAGTGACAGTCTTTGAACTTCAAGGGAAAGTGGCTTTTCCAGCAATGACATTGTATTTCTCAGCCAGGGCCGTAGTTGCAGTGCGATGAAAGCAGGGCGTATTGTCATCTGGAGCACACATGCAACACATGTCATATTTTTAGCCTGGGAAATCATTCCCTTAAAGGATTCCACCAAAACATCTGAGTTCTTTACCTCTCTTCTAGCAAGACATCTCTTGCCTCCACCCTGAACAGCTACATTTGCTGCAGAGTATGTGACTTGTTCCTCATTGATTGATTTCAGAATGCCCACAGCAGTTGAAATTTATTTATTTTGATGATTATTCGTCTGAGAACTTTTCCTATGGTAGCACAGGACAAAAACCTTGGGGATCCAGGAAGAAGCAACAGCAGCACCTTCCACAGTACTGATGACACAGCTTGATTGTCTGCACAGGAGCTACCTACTCCTGTTTTCCTAGAGATCAGAGTTGGGGAGTTAATATTTGTGTTACAAGAAATAGTAGAAACTGGGATTATCTGGCTGTTTTTGCCTTAGATAGAAAACGGGCACTGTCTTGGATGCCAGGAGAAGAGGAAGCTGCAAAATCCACTTGAGCAGCCCTGTCACACTAACACAACTTTGCTGAGTTATCAAACGCTTCCGCAGCCTGTGCTGAGGATGCAAGTTATGCTGTTAGACTTTAAGCTTATGCAAAGTGATTAAGTCCCTTTAGTTACAAGGGATATCAACCTGCCTGCTTGAGGGCATAAGCTGATTGCCTTCGGGGGTCAGGAAGCAGCGCTCCCTCCAGGAGCAGCGCTCGGCTTGCTGGGGGCACCGCGGAGGCTTCTTTGCTTTCCTGCTGCATCAGGCGAATTTGGGCTGGTGCTGCAGTCAAGTGCTATGCCCAGTGGGCCACAAATCAAAACTGGCTTGACAATGTTCGCTCCTCTTTGCGGGAAGCAGTTCATGAGGCAGCGAGCAAAAACCCTTCACATCACGAGTGATGCAGTGAGAAGGTGAAGGGAGCACAACTTGGCCACAGGAATGGATCTATTAGAAAAAGTGTCATGATGGAGTACCAACCTGAGCTGCCTTTGAGATTTTTCACCCTAAAACATGGGTCTCCACAGGAACCAGGTCTGACCTGAGTCAAGAAAAGACCAATACTGCTGGTATCTGTAACAGCTTCAAATCCAGCTATAAGATTGACATTGATGGTACGCTCTAAAGAAGGAGCTTTTCTTTGCAACTGTTTGATCTTCACGTGATACTTTAACCCTCACCACCCCCAGTAACTGCACCTGATTATTTGGCTGGACTTATTGGAAAAGTGCTTTGCTACAAGTGCAAATACTTTGGTAATGTCTGTATTGCTGTGTGTGAATATCTAGCCATATGGCTTGCTCTGGATGAGCTCACTGGATTTCCTTTTGGCAAAGTGAGAAGCTTCTCACTATACAACACTGTGCACCAGGGATATTTCTGCTACAGTATCTTGGTGGTTGGAAGCACATCAATTTCTCTGAAAAGCTCTTGTTCATGCCATGCTGATGTATAAATCAGTGAGGACCCACTGGAACTAAAAGCCAAAAGACACTGAGAAGGCGTGTCATACCAGAAGACTAGCTTTTATACAGTTATAGCATACATGTTTAAATGAAGGGGCAAATTTCGTTCTTGTTTGCATCTGTGATGTAAATTTATGCCCTTTTTGGAAATAGTCTATATTTATGCAGGTGAAATCAGTTTTTCTTCAGGTGAAAAGAACTTCAGTGAAAGAGCTGAATGGATTTTTTTTGCCTTAAGTCCTACTCCAGAACTTGCTGGAACTGCAAATGTCCTGGTGCTTTTATATTCTGCTCTAACTCAGTATGAGCAACTCCCTGTGTTTGACTGCTGCTATATTAGACCAGTAGCATTTACTAATCAGTGATACTTACAAAAACTCCTAAAGCAGATTCTAATAAAAAATATGAATGGTGAAAAGAGTTACAGGAAGGAAGGATGGAAATGGGAATTTAGGGTGTGTTTCCCACAGTTTCGACAGTGTGCAAAGTCTGTTATTGTTCAGTTCAAACTATTTCAGTAACCTCTTCTTTGTAACAAATCGTTACGGCAAAAACATCCTCTCAGAATATGTTTGTCATGCAATGGTCACGTCACAGCAACTCATTCCCCTCTTTTTCTTTTTTTTTCTGGGATTCATGCCAAGTGCTAAGCCAGAAAACCTTGTTATATTAATTATGAAGAAAAAACATGTTTTATTAAAAACTAGCCTGCTGAATATTCTGTCGTGCTGCTTTTCAGTGACAGCAGAATTGCTTTTGCATTTTAGCAAAGTTAATGAATATTCGGGGCGGGAGGAGGTATTCACTCTATTTTCCACAGCAATATTTAGAGCAAAGTCAGATTAAGATTGTCAAAGCTAATGAATCAATCTAGTACTTAGAACTAGTTAGCAAATCTGCACAAGACTTCATGTTGGCTGAAGATTGCACCTATCTCTCCCTCATGAAACACGAATTAAAACTGCCAGTTCACCATGAGCTTCTTTATGATAGCTGGGGTTCCCCCGACGTCTGTAAAAATGGCACTGAACAGCTCTAGAACTGATCCCCCCAGCAAGCTGTCACATGTATCCGTGGATCAAGTGTGCCATATCTACTATTATCAGTAATAGATACTCCTAAGGATACACCAATTAATAAAAACTCTATTGTGTTGTGAAAATCATTCCTTTTAAATTCACCAAACACTTTAAAAAGATCCATAACCTGTTAAAACCCTTCACAATGTTTTTTTTTTTCTCAAACAACTGGATTTAACCATGACAACATCTGCTATTTTGAAAGGAATTTCACTACATATGAACTCACGTGCATTGCAAACTTCATTAAAAGTTCCAGAACCTGGAATTCTTTCATAAGAAAATATACTTAAAATCATAGAATCACTATGGTTGGAAAAGACCTTCAAGATCAAGTCCACTTATAACAGTGCTTGCAAGAACAAAAGAAATATTTTTAAAACTGACTTTTAACTAGTTATGAGTCATTCTTCCACTCTTCTTTACAGATAAGATGTATAGATTCGGGAATGTGACAGAGCAGGGCTTTGGCCCTCTCCACTTGTGTTGAATATTTTGCTGTTAACCTTCCTTGTGTGTTAGTAGCAATAATAATTTATCCATCCAAAGCATACGACCAGAGGTAAGTTAGGTAAGTTTTATCTTCTGCAGAAGAGCTGGCAGAATTGCCAAGTCAGAGCACGCCACTAACCTGCTTAATCTTATACCCAAGTCTTTTAGCAACAGTGGCCACTACAAAAATGCACAATGCGCCCTGCCCAGCAAAGACTGCACTTTGCAACACACCGTCTCCATGGGAGAGCTGCTCCCAACGAAACCCCCCAAGAAACTGTGGGGCTTCAGTTTATGTAACGTTTTTCTTGAGCATTTCACTGTTCATAAATGCAGATACCCAGCTGAGCTCCCAGCACCCCGGCAAAAGGAATGCAAGAACATACTCACGCCCAAGTGTGCACTGCCCAGGAAAAGGACCAGCGGAAGGACCTGAAGGGACAGGACACCTTTAAACATTCTGACAACGTTTTTCCTCACATAAGCTTTTCCTTGCTGCCTGTCTTTCTTTAGGCAGGCCACAGTCATTTGACAGTGAGCTAATTCAGTGCAAATAATTAACTGCGCTTCAGATATTGTTTAATGTTCAACAGATTGCCCTAATGAGATAAATGGATCCTGCCCAGACGATTGCTGTCTTGACTGCTGGTGAGTGTTTCAAAACACTAAATATCAAAGCAGGAAATAACATGAATTAATGAAGAAAGTAAAATATTTTTTCATGTATTAGAATTGTTTTCCTTCTTTATTGCCATTTAAAAAAGTATGAGTCAGGCTAATTTTTCCCTTCCACCTGAAAAAAAAGAGATCTGTTTGTTAAAAAAAAAAAATAAGCACAAAAGTGTTCTGGATTTTAAACTTCAACATTCATGTTCTTGAACATTTCTCCACAAATGTGAAAACTTCTTTTTTTTAGTAAAAGCTGAGATTCTCAAGTAACACACAGTCCCCAGAAGCTGAAGCAAGTACAGTATTGGTAGCAATGGAGGGAGTCACGAAGCAATTTTAAGATGAAACAACCCCATATTCTGGTAGCCATGACAAACTCCCAGATCACATCTTGTTCGTGCTACGTACTAGGAAAATAGGTGCAAAGACAAGTCCTTTTTTTCCCAAAAGTTTATAGTCAGACTAGAAAGAAGAAAAGAGTGGCAGAAGTAAAGTGTTTGCAGGTGGCAGCTCAAAGTCCTGTAGGAATTCCCTAGTAATATGTTTTATCTGTGTTTATAAAGCAGGTAGATAGGATAGTGTCCAGCGCATTACACAACACCAGCGGGAAAAGAATACGGTTGTTGACTGGGGAGGTTTGGAAGATTTTACAGTAAATCAGAACGAGAGCAGGTCACAGGTTGAAATATGAGGGAGAAGGCACCTGAGATCACAGAGACTGTCTCTGGTTCTGAATTGGATTTTCTAGTGGAAAAGATATAATGTGTGCACTTCATTATAGATGCTGATAAAAGGGGGCTGAGCTTTGCATGTCTCTTATTCCTGATGATTCCTCATATCCCAAACATCCTCAGGTGGATTTCTGGTAATAAAATCATACACAAAAAATGTAAAAATTGTATTTATGTCACAAGCTTAATTTAAGCAGGTGCTTGCAAGCAGACACCCCTGAGATTTACTGCATTGGTGGTCACACACACAAGTTTAAGAGAATTCCAGATTCTTTAACAAGTTTGAAAGACAGCAAGATAAAAGGAGTTAGATAATGCACGGCTTTATGTAATGTGTCCTTGAGTAAGCTGATTTGCACTGAATTTTAATAGAGCCCTGATTCATCAAATCTCAAACAGAATTAAGGTATGGACTGGATCCTAATAACATCATGCTTTATATCCATGAAAGATAAATTAAAGGATGCAAAACTGCTATTGACAAACATTGATTATATGTACTTTGATGGACTTTGAAGTTGTGCCAGATGCGTCTTGTCAGCCTCCAAAGTTTTCTTTTAAATCTCATTGCATAAGGCTTTTACTTTTTAATTATTTTTTCCCTCAGCCTCTTTGATCAAGAAAAAAATGTAGATCATATTTGTGTGATGCTATTTCCTATGCATTTTATTTAGATATGTCCTCGTGCACAGCTCATGGCATGTAAAAAGAAAATACATGACATACAGTCATCCTAACCTGTTGTCCTGGATATTGTTTAATATTTAATTGACATTCTCAGGCTACTGAGGGAAATCTGGCCATGTGCAGAAGACTAGCACAAGGCCTGTTCATCTCTTCTTGTGCCATACAAACCTTCAGATTATGACTTGACTACCTGAATTTCTGGTGGCTTTTTGCTCAGAAGACAATTTTGCCCACTACCAAAGTCCTACAATTCATTTACTTCTGTCACTGTCCCCATGTCTCATCCTATGAAAAGTCAAACTCACCAACAACTTTCACTAACTTGAGAAAATGGACTATAATTTAAACAAGTGAAACTCCTTCCTCCTCTTTTCCGGGTATAGAAATCTCTGTTTAATATGAGTCTTCAAGAGTCTTGAAAGCAACTTTGGAACTGTTCTGATTCCAAGCAATTGTAGACCTCACATATACTGCCTTCCTGACATATACTGCCTCACATATACTGCCTTTCTGCACAATCATCTTCAGTTCCTTGGACAACTCATTTACTCTCAATATTCTTTAGCATTGGTTGTCGTGTCTAGTATGAAAAACAAAGGTGAAGTAAAAGAATAACTCACTGAGGGTCAGGTGATCTTTACTCAGACCCAACAGCAATGCCATGGAATATCGAAAATCGGTGCTTTGACTCTGGCCTTTTCCACTGCTACTTTTTTGTAGTTTTCTTTAATTAACCTAGTAACTCAAAAGCACTATAAATGTTCATGCTTCCCTTTAAAATGCTCCCTCCACTTCCATTAAATACAAGGTTTTTTTCAAACTCCAAATAAAAATAAGAAAGCCGAAGCCCTATTATTCATCTTTGTACCGAAGGACAAGACTGGAGTGAGAGCATAGGGAATTGATGTTTAATATAAAATCAGGGAAGGGGAGGAGGCGGGTTCTCTTTGTAAAATTCGTCTTGGTGCATAAAGCCAGCATGAGGTCTAGACACCCCTTAAATCAACATTTAAAGTGTTGCGGTTGCATTTTGTTTCATAATTCTCACTAGCAGCAAATTCCCAGCGATGGTTTCAATTCTTGGTCTGGGATCAAAAGCACAATAAAAATTTAAAGACAAGCAAACAAACAAAAACCAGAATACATGCAGGCAGCAGAAAGTTCTGTTGGACATGCAAAAGGACTCTTCCCCTGCTGCCATATTCCAGAAGTAATTCTTCAAGGGATTTATGCAGACTCAAAACCAGTGCAATAAATGGCTCAGCTAATAAGGAAGAGACCATTTACCACGTCAGCACTACACCAGGTCCAGTAACACGAGCTCGCTCTGACTTGGTACCAGATTCTTCTTAGGAAGGTGCATAGACTTCATCCAGCAGTTAATGAACAACCTATCACAGAGGAACTTTATTCCTGTTCCCAGCTAGAGACTGGTTTGTGCCCCAAACGTAAAACTTTTTGTGCTTTCCAGCCTCCTGGGTGTTCCTTTGAATCCCTCCTATAACAGCTCCGGATATTCTTGTTAGCTCTACTGAGCCCGTTTTTGTATCTTGAAGCTGCCTGCTAAAAACATTAAAACTGTAAAGTGGTGGACAAAGAGACAGTTTTGCTTTCAAGCTGAAAAACATGCATCAAAGCTTCTGCAGTAAATTTGTAGAGTATTAAAAACAAACAGAATGTGACCGTAGGGTAACATCATTTTAGGAAAGATGCAATGGCCTACCTCAAAGTCTGCATTTAATGTACACAGCTCTTTCTTTACCCTGCCTAAACTATAAATCCCAAGGGCCAAATTCTGTTCAGCTACACTAAAACACAGATATTTGTACACTGCAAAGGTAGAGCTAATATAGTTCTCTGTTTTGGTTACCCAATGGAACCTGCACAGACTCCATTGGATTCCCTCCATATGAAGAGGACAGCAGGGACTATTGACCCGAGGAGACTATGTACAGTCAGTGCACTGTTGCAATCCACTATTCATGTAAAAGTATCATGAAAATGAGCAGAAGTGGCTTTTGGAATAGAGCAGATTCTCTGCTATAGCCTAATACTGGGCATAGCAGAAACATAGGAGGTCCTGTGCTATAGATGTGAAAGAAAGCAGCCCAGAGAGGACTCTAATGTCAAAGTGGGAACCTTGATGAAGCCTGATCTCCATGTTACCTTGCATGCATTTAGAGGAAGCACAAACTAGAAACTGCTTGGATTAAAAAAAAAAAAGTGCCTTAAAAATACTCTGTTTTTTTGACTAAATTATTTTCACTGCATTACCGTTATTTTAAACAGGAATCACAGATTATTAAGTGAGGCAATATGATATCTGTGTCCAGGAGGGGAGTCCGACAGGAGATCATATGGCAATACATATACCTTTGGAAGAATAATTTAGCATGCTATTCAATTGATTGCCTAAGTGACTAAAACAGCAGAGAGAAGGCATTATTTCAGATGCAATGATGCATACCTCTTATGAGAACTGTGATGCAGTACTAAGACAATATATTCTCCTTGTATTGACACAGAAAAGATTTTCAGTTTTCATGTAATTGATAAAAAGTCCACTATTATACACAGCCAATCTGAACTGCCAGTTACACCCCTTGGTGCGTAATTGAAGTAACACACAATTGTAGCCCCTAACTTACACCCATTGGTTCTCATACATGGAGGCGATGAAATGTGTAACAGCACTAGTACTTATGTCATGTTTATCTTGGCTTTCCATTCAACTTGGCTGACCTAGCGTGATGAGCAGGGCCAATTTGCTTGAGCATAACTGCTGATTGCATTTCAATCCTAACTTCCCTAGGTTACAATTACTCTTTTTGATCCATTATCCATTATACTTTGTCCCTGGATTTCCTTTCTGAAAACAATTTTTCTCTGTGGACATAGATCCAATATTTAAGCTCATTCTTTTATATGATGAAGGAAAACATGTCTCTCAAACTTAGAAGCACAGCAATGTTTGCACCTTTCTCTATGTAACAATGGCAACCATAAATAAAATTGATCCTGTTTTTTGCAAGATTGACCAGCATAAGAAAGCTGTCTCTTGAGTGGCGATGGTAGATGTGCGTTCCAGGTCGATAACTACTAGGCTAATAGATCGTGAATTAGTCACTGGACTTGTGAATGAATCCTAAGGGATTTTGTGTCCATCTCCCTCTGACTCTCCCCTTATGTTCCTTTGAAAATCCCAACCACAATTCCCCCTCCTTATTCTTCATAATCAAAACTTTTTGCCTGCTTCCCTCAGGTCCTCTTTAGCTGGCCTTGACCTAGCTGTCCCCAAGCTTATTTCCTTCCCTTTCCACACCCCACGTTCAGCTTTCCTTGTCGCTGTCAAGCTCGTTGTCTCATACACTTCAGAGTTAATGTGTGGTGCCTACCCAGAGCAGAGACACTTCTCTAGCCAGCACAGGCCAAGCTGTG